AAAGAGAGAAATGAGAAGGTCTATTTCTAACCTGATAATGAGATAAGCATCTGAAGAACATGAGACATGGCGACTTTGAGTGGTAAAGAGCACAAGACCAAGGAAGTAGATGCTGATGAATATGGAGATCCAGGGAATAAGGGGTCCAAAAAGTAGAGTGTGACTTTAATATTCTGATGATGTAAACTCAGCAACCATGAATTTATTCAAAGAGGTAGACAATCTAGGATAAGTTATAGGTTTAAGTTTGTAGGTGTTGATTTCAGTTTTGGGCATACTGAGTCTAACCTAGTATGTTTGTGTTTAGTGAGCACAAAATCCCGCACATACAGGCAGCAGGCAAAACCATAGCAATACATGGCATCACTTGGGAAGATTTTGCATGAGGAGGAAGAATCAAGAAAACACTGTAGGAAGTGTTACATTTTAAAGGGTGGATGGAGGGAGAAGAGATTATAAAAAACAACAAGAAGTAATGGCAATAAACGGTGATGCAAATGCAGGACAGAGCAATGTGTTAAGAGCTGGGGAGGAGGAGAAATGAGTTGAGTCCAATAGCAAGATAGCTAACTAATAATCCTGGGGAATTATTGATGATCCATTTCAAACCTGGTGTGAATGAAATGGAGAAAGCCAATTAGTGGGGTAAGGAGGACAAGACTCTGGGAGGTAGGTAAAGAAATTCAGTTGTAGCGAGAAGCCACTCAGCAATAAACTAAGAGAGAGCGAGTGTGTGTGTGGAGGAGTAAGCTGGTCGAAATGAGGAGAGTTCAAGGAAGAAAACAGTGTTCTATAGATACATGTTGAGTTCGTTTCTATTTCACATTCTAAAATAACCTAGGGCTACTCAGAATTAACTAACCCCCTTTCCTCCCAAAGCCAAGGCAATTTACATCCTTAAATACAAATATCTCTGTCTGCTTCATCTCCCCCAGGAGTTAGCGTTTTCATCTCATGTTAACATGGAAAGGTATGGCTCACTCCCTTTAGAGTCATGGCAGTGGGCCTGCCTGCTTTTCAAATCATTCGTCTTTCTGTGAGTCCTGGAAGTACCTGTGGTTTCAAATAGGAGGCTGAGGACTGCATTGACTGTGGGGTGATGGGAATCTTAGGCTCTGTCTACTTAGGTAATTGGGACTTGGTAGATCTTTGTACCAGTAAGTAGAAAGTCAAAGCCATAATAGTTTCATGAAAATGAGTAGCTTTGTTTCTGTTTTGTTTTACAGTTTATTTTCAAAAATACTCTCAACTTTTTGAAGAAAAAAAAGCTATAAGAGATCTAACTCACAAAGAATTGAATTGCACAAAAGACAATCCACCAATGGATGGTAAGAATTAAAGCATGTTTAATTTTGTTTGCTTGCTCTAGAGTGTAATGGTCTAACATTAATCTTTCTTTACTTCCTTCCTACATTCAGCCCTTCCTTCACTCCTTCCTTCCTTTGTTCCTTCCATTTATACTTATTGTTCTTTCATACACTGCATCCCAGCCACAGTTTCCCCTCCCTTCACTCCTCCCAGTTCTCTTCCGAATCTCCTCTCTCCCCTAGATCCACTCCTCCTGTTTCCCTTCATACAGAGCAGGTCTCCAAAGGGATGTCAACCAAACACAGCACAGCAATTTATAACAAGACTAGGCACACGCCCTCATATCAAGTCTGACCAAGGCAACCCAGTGAGAGGAACACATCCCAAGAGCAGGTAAGAGTCAGAGACACACCCACTCCCACTCTTAGGAATCCCACAAGAAAATACCATGCTAACAACCATAACATATATGCAACCTGGTGTCCTCAACCTCTTTGGCTCCTAAAATCCTTTCCCCCTATTCTGCAGGGTTGTCCAAGCTCTGTCTAATGTTTGGTTGTGGGTCTCTGCATTTGCTCTCATCAGTTGCTGGATGAAGCCTCTCTGATGACAAATAGGGTAGCCACCAGTCTATGAGTATAGTGGAATGTTGTTAGAAATCAGTTCATTGACCTTAGTTTGTTGGTTTCGTTTTTATGATTAGCTCTGCCCTAGGTCTCTGAGCCATTCCATTTCAGATTCCTGGCCATCCAGGCAGGGTCCAGCATGGGCTCCCTCTTGTGGCTTGGGCCTCAAGTTGGACCAGTCATGGTTGGCTAATCCCACAAGTTCTGTGCCACCTCTACCCCAGCCCATCTTGCAGGCAGAATGAAGTGTAGGTTGGTTTTGTGCCTGGGTTGGAATCTCAGTCCCACCACTGAAAGTCTTGCCTGGTTACAGGAGATGGCCAGTTCAGGCTCCATATCACCCATTACTAGGAGTCTTTGAAAGG